GAAGTAAGTTTTAAGGACAAGATCTATGAATGAAATACTCTAACGAACATTTTATCAATTATTCAAGAGTTGGTATAAGAACATAATCTAATTAAATAATTTTTATCATTATAAATTTATTTGATTTTGGAAATTTACAGAGATAAGACTCAAATATTCATCTCCACCATGTACATAAGGCTGATTTGACTAACTCTCTGAGGATATGCCATTGCAATTAAATTTAGGGGGGATGCAAGGCTCTGGGATTTTCATTGTCAAGGGGACAAACTTAAAAGAAAGTATTCATTCTAATCAAAAAAACGTAATCCATCCATCTTTACAAATGAGAAAGATTTAGAGCCATATGGTGATTTCATTAAAATGATTGTACACCTGGTCGCAATCAGGTGTTGCAATCATTTTTATAACCATCATCAAAAGTTCAGCTGGAAATCTTGCCATTTATGGATAAAAAAATTACAGCAAATCAGCAGGAAAGGCCTGAAATCCAGAATTGCAGTTTTCTCCATTATTGAAGAGTTGGTTTGTGAAAAATTGAAAAAATTCACGGTTCTGTCTTTGTTCAGATCCTTGGTTCCAAATAATGATCTTTGCCAGGCATCATTGTTCATTGTATTGCTTTTGTGTTGATAGGTGGGTTATCAGAGCTACTTGTCACGAGTTTGCTTAGCAAGTTATGGAATTCAAAAGATAAATAATCATCATACTCCAATGGAGGTGGTGGCTCTATGCTTTAGCTCAGTAATTCATTCGGTCCACAAAAATATGCAATACTTTGAGAAATATGTTGTTGGTGCAACCAAGAAGAGAAATGCCTATACTTTACTTTTAGTCGAGGGCCTTGGATCCAAGTGATTTTCTCCCATGCAGTTTCATTGCTTCACAAACCCAAGCACCTGCATGAAATGAAAGGATATTTTATTAAATCTGACATCTAAGTTCAATATGTTAGATTTAATTATTGTTTATTTTCTGACCTTACAAAATGTTTTCATTGGATATTATTTTCAAAATTGGTTCTTTAAAAGTTTAATTTCTTCATGGTCTCATTATCATTATTACTTGGGCAATGCAATTTATTTATTAATCCTTTGCAAAAGGAATATATTCAAATAATAATAACACATCATAAATATTGTAACAGATATGATACAATATATGGGAACAAAGGTATTATGAGCTGGGTAGTGGATCTTCTGCCTTCAGGCCTAGATGAGCACGTGTCAAATCTATAGAAGGCATCATTAGTTAATAATTTTATCAATGTTAAACAGTTATATATGTAATTTTTTTGGACATATTTTTACCTATGTGTAGTCGTCTACTATCAGATGATGCAGATGCTCGATTTGGTTTTGGTCTGGTCAAGTGGTTTAACCCATTAGCATCAGTGAGGTCTTGGTGGGAGATTGGTTCAGAAGTGACTTTACCATTTGCATTTCTATCAATTCCATTCTCATGATCTTCATAAACCTTGGTGAAATTCCGCAAATCATGAAAAAATAACTTACTTATGTAGTAAACAACACTGTGTCGGATTCCTCTAGTAATGGGAAAATTTCCATGGAGTAGAAGACGTGAGGAAAATGCAACAAGTTGTCCAGGCTGAAGCACTACCACAATCTTGAGTTGGGGGAAACATAGTTCACCTCCTTCAAAATCTCCTAAAGCAACCAGACAACAGAAACCATTTTTCACATCATTTGCATCCCAATGATAATCACTAATAGTATTGTAATTAATAGCCATCATTGGAAAAACCCCAAAGGATCTTGGTGCAAATGGTCCCCATGCTAACTTGCTTAATTTCTTGTATAATTCTCCATAATTATTTTGAATAAAGTTATTAATGCTGTTTGACAGTGGTTGAAGACTGCAAAGGAGATTATTAACGCATTCCAGATGATCAGCATTATGTGAGCTTGCGGTATCAGAGCTAGTGTAAGGAAGGAGATTGTATTGCGCATAAGCCCCAAAATGCTCAATAAGATTCTTCCAGAATCCTTCACTTTGATGAGATGGATTATTCAAGGTGTGGAAATAGTAATGATTAATGGCATTTGTAGCTTCTGTAATGGCAAATGGATTATTAAGTTGCTCGAGGTGTATTAAGGTTTTGCCATCCAGGTCTGTAATGCACTCGGGTTTCACAACATAGCGGAATTTCACCAGCTCATCCAGCGAACTGAAATCCTTTCGTGCTTCAGCAATCAGCTTGGCCTTCTTTTCTGCAGTAGTCTTTGTAACAAAAATATCTTTCTTATTTTGCAAGTCCAAGGCATGTTGGAGTCTTTTCCACTTATTTCTGAGATGGTGTTGCACTTCTTTTGGTTTAATTGGTTCCTTAAAGCCTATCCATTTCCCAAAACCAATCCACAATTTTTTGTCAGATGATGAGTCTGCAACTTGAAGCTCTGATTCCTCATTGATTTCATCTGCTTTGTTGGTTATTTCTCTGTTGATCAATTCAAGAAATTTTAGAGGAATCCCATATGAATCAAGATTATCATCACCTAGTTTTGCCTCCCAGAATAAGGTCTCAATGAATAAATCTTGAGTGGATACATTTTGTTGAGCCTTGCTTTCTTTTGATGATACACAATCTGAGATACAGAGAGGGACACTTGTCCACTCCTTTTCAATATAATAAATCTTATCATATGTGCAAAGCCCTCGAGTTGCAAATTGTGTTCGATGCTAAAAATAGTTTGATAGTCAAGTTTTGAGAAATAAAAAATATAACAGAATGGTTAATATATTGTGCCACATCTAGTAGTCAAACATTTTTTTTGTTGTATTGCTTTGCTTCACAACATATGTTACTCAGGATAAAGAACAAACATACCTTTAATGGATCAAAGATGATGTCCAGTTCTTGAGATACTTGTTGCCTATGTTTTTTATTAGAGCGGCAATGTCGTGATAGTTTTTCAGTAGAAGTCATTTTCTGAAATGAAATGGCCTCAATTTTTTGCTTCTTGGGTATGTCAATAGTAAAAAAAATAAGAATTTGGATTTTATCAGGTTTGTTTTTAAATTTTTTTAACTTATAATAAGTGAGTTTTTTTATGAATTTAAAATTTTTTTTTGTAATTTATTATCAAATTAACCAATTAGAATTTCATAATAGAAGTGATTTTGTATTCTAAAAGATATGGTTAGAGTAGAACCATTAAGCATGGATGAAAAACAGTATGAAAAAAGACATTTACATGCCC